TTAGTAAAAGTCATTTTAGATATCTAAAGCTACAATTTTAGATATCTAAAATTGTAACTTTAGATATTTAAAGTTTGTAATTTTGCAATATTAGACATTTAAAGTTGCAATTTTAGATATCTAATATTGCAAAATTACTAACTTTGGATATCTAAAGTTACAATTTAAAATATCAAAATTACAATTTTAGATATCATATCTGAAATCACTATCTATTTAAAGCTACAACTTCAGATATCTGAAGTTAATTATTTAAAGTTGCAATTTCAGATAAAAATCTCTAAAATTACTAATTTAGTTGCAACTTTAAATATTTAAAGTTGTAATTTTAGATATAAAAATTGCAAAATTAAACTTTAAATATCTAAATTTGCAATTTTAAATATTTAAAATTGCAAGATTACTAACTTTAGATATCTAAAGTTACAATTTAAAATATCTAATATTACAATTTTAAATATATAAAGTTGCAACTTTAAATATTTAAGTTACGATTTTAGATATCAAAATTTTTACCTTTAGATAAAAAAACATCAAAATTACTAACTTTAAATATCTTAAGTTGCTATTTATCTGAAGTTGCAACTTTAGATATCTAAAGTTGTTACTATCTAAGCTCAACTTTAGATATCTGAACTTATCTCTTAAACCATCTAGTATCCAAATTTAAGAGCTTAAATATTTTTTTATATATTTTTTTATTATATAAAATTTTTATTAATCTTAGTCCCCCCTGTTTCTAAGCTAAAATAAAAATATAACCTATAATTAATTAGTAATATGCAAAAATTTTAAAATAATTTCAATACTATTGGAAATTTTACCTTTTGAATATTGCTAATTCTAAACTTTTTTTATAAAAATTTCTTTAAAGTTTAAAAATTTATATATAAATATCTACAAAAAAACTTTTTTGCTTCTAATTAAAGTTAAAATTTATCAAATTTTAAAAAAATTTTATTAATTAAAGTTATTTTTAAAACCAATCTATAATCTTGTTCTAAGATTACTGAGTGTTTCTAGCAATATTAAGTTTAGTTTTTAAGAGTTCAGATTTTACCTATAAATTAGTTAAGTAAACTATTAGATAGATTGATAAATAAATATAGTATGTAGATTTGTGAAGTATAGTTTGTATTGATTAAAAAGTTGGTAGTTAATTATTCTAAAGATAGTTTTAAAGTATTGTTTAAATTAATAAGAAGTTGTTAAATTTTTTAAGTTTGTAAAAGTTGAATATTGTTAAGGTTTAGACTTTTAATTGCTTAGTGATTAATATTTTGAAAAAGTGTTAGATAGTTGCCAAGATGCATTATAGTAGTTGATAATATGTTGAGTATTTTTTGTTTAATTACATTAAGTATAGTTTGTAGTTAGAAATAGATGTAAATAATATATTGAACAATAAAATCCTAATAATTATATAAGTAACAAAGAGAGAAAACCTGTATGTAAAAATTAATGTTATTACTAATATATATCTACTATATATATATTAGTGATAGCGTTAATTTTTACTTACAGGTTTTCTCTCTCCGTCACTCATATGAAGCCATATATACACATTGCAGCTATTATATAAGTTATAGAACAATGATGAAGCTATTTGTATCAAAACTACTTAACTGACAATCTTACTTTATTTATAGCATAGATAGTTTTCTTTTTATTTTGTAGTTACTTTATTTTTTCTTAGTATTTATTTATTATATAGTTAGTCTTTATTAAATTGTTATACTGTTTATTGATATAGTTTTATCATAAGCCATAATTATTTATTATATATAAATTTGTTATACATAATAATCATATGACAGAGTAAAACCTGAGTTTATTATTTGTATCATGGAAAACCTGAGATAGATATGTAAAACCTGAGTTTATTAAGGTGAAACCTGCAATTAAAATAAAGAATTATTAAAACTTTGATTGAAGTTATCTTAACAACCACTATATCAAATTTGATGAAAATTTTTTTATTTGAATTATACAGTTTTGTACAATTCAAATAAAAAATTTTCATTAAATTTGATGCAAAGGTCATTGAGATATCTTTGATCAAAGTTTGATTAAAGATTTGGTGCAGCTACTACAATTATTTATGTTTTAAAAAAATTCCAAATCTTTGATTGAAGATATCTTGAAGACCACTACATCAAATTTGATGAAATTTGTTTTTTGAATTCTATAAATCTGTATAATTCAAATGAAAAAATTAATCAAATTTGATGCAGTAGTCATCAAAATATTATCGATCAAAGTTTGATTAAAAATTCTGTTGAATCTACTTCTATAAATGTTTTAAAAACAATTCTTATCTATTTAAAATAGCAACTTTAGATATCTAAAATTGCAATTTTAAACATCTTAGTTGCAATTTTAAATATCTAAAATTGCAACTTTAGATATTCAAAGTTATAGTTTTAATTATCTAAATTTCTATTTTAAATATTTAAACTTACAACTTTAAATATCTAAAATTACAAGTTTAAATATTTAAAGTTTATGTGAAGTTGCAATTTTAGATATTTAAAGTTGCAATTAAAGACATCTAAAGTTGCAATTTAAAATATTTAAAGTTGCAAATTTAAATATCAAAATTTGCAATTTAGATATCAAAAGTTGCAACTTTAGATATTTAAAGTTGTAAGTTTAAATATCTAAAGTTGCAACTTTGGATATCTAAAGTTGTAAGTTTAAATATTTAAAATTAAAATTTTAAATATTTAAAATTATAACTTTAGATATCTAAAGTTAGTAATTTTAATATTATTTTTTATCTAAAGTTGCAGATTTAGATATCTAAAATTGCAACTATAGATATCTAAAATTACAACTTTAAATATCTAAAATTGTAATTTTAGATATCTTTAATTGTAAGTTTAGATATTTAAAGTTAGTAATTTTGCAATATAAGATATTTAAAATTGTGATATTAGATATTCAAAGTTGCAACTTTAGATAGATAGTAATTTTAGATATGACAGTTGTAACTTTAAATATCTAAAATTGCAACTTTAGATATTTAAAGTTGCAAATTTATAGATTATTTTTAGAATATTAAAATTGCAATTTTAGATATCTAAAGTTGAAATTTTAAATATATAAATCTGCAACTTTAAATATCTAAAGTTGCAATTTTAAATATCTAAATTACAATTTTATATATCTAAAGTTATAATTTTAGATATATAAAATTACTACCTTAAATATCTAAAATTGTAACTTTAAAGTTAATTTTAGATGTCTAAAGTTGCAACTTTAAATATTTAAACTTGCAATTTTAAATATCTAAAATTGCAACTTTAGATATTTAAAGTTGCAACTTTAAATATCTAAAATTGCTACTTTAGATATTTAAAGTTGCAACTTTATATATTTAAAATTGCAACTTTAAATATTTAAAGATGCAACTTTAGATATTTAAAGTTGCAACTTTAAATATCTAGAATTGCAACTTTAGATATTTAAAATTGTAACTTTAGACATTTAAAATTTCAACTTTAGATATCTAAAATTGCAACTTTAAAAATTTAAAGTTGCAACTTTAGATATTTAAAATTGATTTTAGATATCTAAAATTATAACTTTTGATATTTAAATTTATAATTTTAAATATCTAAAGTTGCAACATTAAATATTTAAAGTTACAACTTTAGATATTTAAAATTAACTTTAAAGTTGCAATTTTAAATATCTAAGATTGTAATTTTAGATAACTAAAATTGTAATTTAGATATCTAAAATTAAAACTTTAGATCTTAAATTTGCAATTTAATATATTTAAAATTACAACTTTAGATATTTAAATTGTAATTTTAATAATCTAAAAATAACCTATAAATTTGCAACTTTAAATATTTAAAGTTGCAACTTCAGATATCTAAAATTGTAATTTTAGATAGCTTAAATTGTAACTTTAAATATCTAAAGTTAATAATTTTGCAACATTAGATTTTTAATATTGCAATATTAGATATTTAAAGCTACAATTTTAGATATTTAAAGTTGTAGATTTAGATATTTAAAATTGCAAGTTTATATGCTTAAAATTGTAATTTTAGTTATTTAAAATTTAAAATTACTAACTTTAGATATTTAAAGTCACAGTTATTAAGGGTAGAGTGTACATTGATCATTTATCATATGATTTTGGTTGTACAATAGGATTTTATGCATAAATTAAAATATGCCACTAACAAAAGTTTTTGAAACCACTGTCAATCTTTACTAAAATTTTGTAATATATAGATTAAACCTTCTATTTATAGTAGTAAAATTTTCAGAGGTTATATTATTTAAAAAAATATACATATATATATCATAAAGTTTGCCAGGAGGTTCTCAAATTTGCCGGGGTTTTACAAAAAAACAAATAGTAAAATTATTACTAAAACAGGAGAACGTCTAAAGCTGAGATAAATCACGTGACATATGCTATAACTGTGATTGGCCAATTATTAAAAAAATTATGATTGGCTAAGGGTAATACTAGGCTTAAGATGTCATCGTTGCATTATTATGCATTTGATTTATTATCATAAAAAAAAATTTTTTTAATCTTTGTATAAGGCATGATTTTTCTTTTTTTTTTTTTTTATAATGAAATATTTATAAGCGTTTTTTTTTTTGTTTTTATCGTAGGTTTTTTTTTCTTTCCTTGTAATAAACTAATAAATTGACATTTGGACCAGTTTCGGTGACCTGACTTTGATTTTTTTTTTTTTTTTGAAAATTTTTTTTTTTTTTTCTTTTTAATCACTAAATACTGTAGCTTAGATTGTTTTTCTACATAATTTACCGAGTTTTGTAAATAATATAACTTTGGAGATCTACAAACTTCGTATGTGAAATTTTATTCCTAGTTTTTGCTTTTTATAATGTTTAATAGTATTAATATTCACTTTTTTTATTGGTGTACTAAGAAACTTACAAAGAGAAAAAAGAGAACAGAAAAAAACAAAAAAAAAAAAAACTTACATAAATTTTATTTTTCGGTTATGTCTGCTTCTTTCTTGGGCATCATGTTAGCTACTCCTTCTGGTGTTGCACCTTTTGCTCCCTCGGGTATCACGTCTTTTGTCTCTTTAGATGCTGCATCTGCAGCTCTCTCTGGTGCTATGTTTATCACCACGCCCATGCCTTGTGCCATCACTCCTTTGGTTTTAATGTCAATATCGCTCACACTAGATGAAAAACACAGTTATCTTTTTGATGTAAATGGTCTTTTGGAAATACAAAGTGAATACTTTAATGACAACTGGTAGCCAGTAGTCTCTAATATTTGGACACAATGTGGTTCTTACAAACAAGTAAACGGCGATATTCAAAAGGTTTTTACCTGCCGCTTTACTAAACATTGTGAATCAAGTTCCCGAGAGAAAAAAAATATTCCAAATGAAAAACGTAGAGTGACAAAGACACGGCCATCTGGCTTGTATTATGCAAAAATTGAAGTTTCTTGGTTAGTTGCTTCAAATATAGTCCAGATGATAACTCTCCCGACTACGCGCACTCTTTATTAGAGAGCGATAGAATAAAGAGTTTAAAAGTTATATGAGATTTAGTTAAAAATGAAGCAGTCAAAAACTATCCTCCTGCAATCACATTAGCAGTTAAAGAATACGCAGCAAATAAATTAGGACTCGGTTCGAGTGTATGTGAGCTGACACACAAAGAAATAATAAACATTAAATACAAAGTTCATGGGCTGATGGAAGCTCACCTTATTGGAAATTCAAATTTAAAGTTAGATATATCAGAATCCATATCTTATTTGATAGAAAAAGGTTATCTTGTTGAAAGGTATTCTGTTTCTCAATGGTCTACTAAGGGTATTGTGTTTGTGCATCCGTATTAACTAAAAAAACATGAAAGACATGGGTGGTTGACATTAATTGACTCAACTCACAAGACCAATCGGTACGACTGGCATCTGTTTATGCTTTATATTCGTGATACTTATGGTTGCTGGAATGTAGAGGCTCACTTTTTTGTGAGTAGTGAAGATAGTGACACGGTTGCTGAAGCACTGTTGATAGTTCGTAAGAAGTGCTGTC